GGGCCCCGGCGGGCCAGCAGCGGCGGCAGGGGCAGCCCGGCCTCTGACCCGCTCCCCTCCAGCATTCCCTTGTCCGCCGGTGGAGGCCAAGGCGCGTCGGAGACGCCCCTGGCACTCCCTCCCCTCCGCGTCCTTGGGCGGTCACTGACGTCACAATCTGGGTGTGACCCGGTCCCAGGGCGGACCCAGGGACTGTGCCGGCCGCCGAGCTCGCCTCTCCTCCCCCGGACACCGCCCCCCGGGAGTCTGGCCTTGGCGCTTCCTCTGCCCCAGCGGACCGCGGTTCACAGCCTCGCCCAGCCCCGCAGGGAGAGCTCCGGGAGGCGCCCCTAGAAGGACAGGAGGAGAGGCGAGCCCCGAACTAGCTGGTCTGGGCGGCCGGGGAGGTGAGAGTCCATAGAGATCTCAGGGAGAGGCAGCCCCAGGACAAGGTGAGCCACGGGGAGCCCGAGTAGCGGGCCCCGGGGCCCGTAGCGGCCCCGGGGCCCCAGGCCTTCTCTCCAGCCTCCTGGGCCGGTGGACCTGGGCCGGGCCGCCCATCTGACCAGCTCTGGAACCTGCTTTAGTGACGGTAAGGTGGCCGTGAGGATGGAACACCACCGACCCCGAAGCCACTGTCGCCCTTCAGGGCCGGGCTAGTGTCTGCACACCACCTCAGGGAGGCTGTGTGCCTGCCGGGAACTGTCCCAGGTTCTGAGATGTCCCAGTGCACAGAGCTCAGTTTTCTGCCCCGGTGCCCCTATATTCCAGTAGGGGGGCAGTAAGGTTGGTCATCCCTGTTATTCATTGAGGGCTCAGTAGATGTCATCCCTTCAGCCATTCTTCACATTTTTGGTGTCTGCCTCGTACAGAAAGTCAAATGTTCCTTGGGGAGGTAAGGATTAAGAATCACTGAATAAACAGAGAGAGACAGTATACAGTAGGTATGGTAAATAAGGTGCATGGTATGTTTGAAGGGGCTTAGTGCTATGAAAAAAGTTTTGGTAAAATAAGACTTTCTTTTTCCCGTTAGATTGGAAAAAATATTTTTAAGGCTAGCGTAAGATGTGCAAGGAAGTCAACGGTCTCATCATTTTATTTTAAAATAATCTCAGAAATTTGCAAGAACTGTACAAAAGTTCACCCGTCCATCACTTTGAAAATAGTTGCACGAACCGTGCTCTATTCCCACCCTCATTCAACATATTTCAGTGTATATATTCATTTTTCTAATCATTTCTTTAATCACCGTAGAGCACATGCATGTGCATAAGAGAGAGAAAGGTATGAGCACACTCCACGGGGTCTGCTCACACTCAGATACGCTTCCTCTAGTCCTTCAGCCCTTGGCATCGCTGACCCTCGAGCTCTTCTCCAGCACATGCAATTAGCCTGTGTGTTCCAGGCTGAACAAACCGAGATTCTAACCACAGTTGCCATTTCAAGAGGACATTCTTAATAAAAAAAAATTCAGTGAAGAAAACAACATAGTCTCAATAGGCTACTACAGTTTACAAATCTTTTCCCTCAAAAAGAAAAATAATAAATACGATATTTTCCCCATTATCTGTGGAGTATATTTTTAAGAACCTCCAGGGAAAACTGGGAATAGCACCCAATTCTGTACATGCTAAATCTTTTTGTATAGATGTGTTCCCCAACTTCTGATGGTTTATGTCCCCTAAAACCCACCATATTGAAAATAACATAATTGAAAATAATTTAATATACCTAACCTACCAAACATGCATAACCTAGCCTACCTAAAACATGCTAGGAATACTTACTTTAGCATATAGTTGTGGAAAAACATTCAACACAAAATGTATTTCATATTTAAGTGTAGACTATCTCATATATTTTATTGAATAGTGTACTAAATGGGAGAAATGGAATTCTTGAAATATTGTTTCTTCTGCAAGCATATTCCTTTTGCACTATTATAAAGTAAAAAATGTATTAAGTAGAATCATTCTAAATTGGGGACTATATAGACATACATATCAATGATCAAGTTTAATTTGTAAATTAGGCACAAGAAGAGATCAATAATAATGATAAAGTTTAAAAATTATAGTACACAATGATAAATTATATGAATGTTGTCCCTCCCTCTCAAACTATTTTATTTTATCATACTCACATATTTTTGTACTTGGATTCAGGGAAGGTGACAAATCATATTGAACACAATGAGAGGGACAGTGTAGGGGGAACAACTATAAAAACAACTATATCAAAACTTTTATGACACAGTCTTCTTCCCATTTATCCCTGCCTATAGGTGGGATGACATGGGTACAGGAAGTTCACTGTTTCCTGAGCAAGGTGCAACATTCAAAGAACACCGTTGATTTTCTGTTTGCATTTTCTGTCATAAAAATTCTTTTAAATGGTTTTCTGATGCTCTCATTATATTCCAAAATCTTGGCAAGATTATTTTATAGACTCTACCTGATCAGCACTTAACACTTCCAAAAGAGAAAATTTGTTCTAGGGTGTCGAGAAAGTGTTTCTTACATGGTGGAAAAATAAGAACCTGTCTGGATTTCATTTAGTTGTCTTTCTATGAAGTCTTCTGGGGATGACTCATGTTTGGGAAACACTTCTAAATCCATTCTGCAAAAGTTCTGTCATTTCTCTCGGTTAATTCTCTCTGACTCTCTTCCCCTCTATTTCTGATTTGGTTATCTACAATTTTTGCCATTTAGGAAATGGACAAGACTGTGTTTGTTTATGTGTTTATCCATGGAGACAACCAGCTCTATTCACATTTCAAAGATGGTTTTTGATGATTGAAGAGGCATATTACTACAAAGATTTTTGTCTTTTGTTTTTTTTTATGGAGCCTTGTAAAACAATGCTTGGTTCTAGACGTCATTATGAATCTTAGGTTTTCAAAAAAAAAAAAGAAGTGGATTATTAACAGAAAAATTATTATTTTTTAAAGAACTATCTATTTAGTATTATTATTAATATTATTTTTCACATGAGTTTTGCCAGAGAAAGAAAAAGAGAGAGGGAGAGTGAGAAAGCAAGCTGCCAGGTCCGGGACTCAAACCATGGTCAGCCATGTGGGAATTCCAACACCTTAACCACTATGCCCACTGCTGGCCCCGATTAACAGAAAAATTATAAATAGTCTGCATTTCTAGGTTGCTTTTCATCTAATGGATTATAACAAAAATAAGGTTTTTAAAATCTTTATGGTCTTTATCAAAAATGCCTTATAACATGTCGAACTAATTCATTATTATATTTTCATTGTTACTATTTTGATGATTTTACACCTCTAGAGTATTTTTGTCCTTGATTTCTAGAGATCTTTGAGTTTTACACGTGATCTATGGAAAAGTGGAGAATCTTTTGAATCAAAACCATGTACAGAGTCCTTTGCTAATAATAGCAAATATAACTTTCCAGGCCATAGTCATTTATCACGTTCACTATCAATGAAGGCAGTTTTGTTAACATAAATCCACACTGAGCTTATGGTGTTCCAGCTGAAATCTACTTCAGGGTCTAACATCCTTTTTTGGAGCAGCCTGGATCACTTTTTATGTCTGTACAGTTGCCAACACGGATTCATCTCTTCTCTCAACCAGGATCTTTGAAGGAGGTGGCAGGAATTTTGTCCTGAAATGTAGAAATATCAGGGGGTGAAGTGCAGAGTGAATGACACCATGTCTTACCATCACCTCTGTAAGGCTGACTCTCTGTGAGGCACCAGCCTTTACTGAGGGCAGCTCTCCCCACAGCAGGAGGCATACTGCTTCCTCATTCCCTGCCCCACCCTGTTGGGTAGTTGTGAGGAGCTGGATGGCCTGCTTTTCCACATTGACCTAAAATGAACTTTTACTGTCTCAATCAAAAAACTGACCAAGAAAGACACCTAATGCCTCACATAGATGCTTTTAGCTTATCTGACTTTTATAGTAATGAGCAGAGCACAAAGAAACTTGCAAGTGCCAATGTCTTACTTGTAGGCCAGAGTATGATTTTTTGTTTTTTAAAAATTTTAAATTTACATTTAAATACATATATCTTTACAGTGTAGAATATTGTTTTTCCAGCACAAATACCATGCATATCAGTCAAGACAAAGACCTTACTATATACATTGTCATCAGCTAATTGTTTTTGATTTCTTTGGTCAACTAATTTTTAAGAGTTTGATTATTCTTCATCTCTCCTGGGTGCCTTTGATTCTTCCCTCTCGCTGTGTTTGTCATTCTGTGCTTGTGCAGAGGAGGGTAGGAGGAAACCTTTGAATCAAGGCCTTGAGACTGCTAGGAGGTAAGAAGGACAATTTTGCATGTGGGCTACTGAATAATGTGTTGTTTCTTCCCCAATTTAGGAAGCTGTTAATGAGGGAACTTAAGCAGATATAGAATGAAAAGGAGGTTTCAAAGGCAGAGGAAAAAGTCAAGTTGACTACTGAAAAAAATACATAATTTAAAGTGAGTTTTGACACTGAACATCAATGTCTAAATAAGCCTGTATTGGATTTTCTTGGTTTCTAATATTTGTTTTTCTTTTTTTGGAGAGGTTTTTATTATAGGGCAGGTGTGCTCGCCAGAAAGACAGAGAGAGACAGAGAGACAGAAAGTGGGAAATTACCCCCCAGGGGCAATGGCCACGCCACAATCTCTTGTCCTCCATTCTCCTGTTGGGATTTTGGGCACGCATGCACACGTGCCCAATGTGATTTAAGTCACCGGGTCCACAGTGGTCGACTACTGGGGAGTCCAGCAATATAGCCATTATGCTAACTGCTGGTCCCAGTTTCTAATATTTGTATAGTGTATGCTTAGGCCCAATTAACATAGAAATATAAAAACGTTACCAGAAGATATATGTATTTTTTGTATAATATATATATATATATATATGTGTGTGTGTGTGTGTATACATATTATATATATACATTTATAATTGTATACATGTATACAATATACATGTATATAATATATATGTATATAATATGTATATAACATATATATGTATATAATATATGTATATAATAAGCATATTATATATGTATATATTATATGTACACATATATGTGAGTATGATATATGTATATAATATATCTACATATAGTATATGTGTGTATATATATTTTATATGTACATATACATACATATAACAGACATATACATGGGGAGAGAGAGAGAGGGAGAGAGAGAGAGAGAGCTCTACCAGAAGAAAAAGCAAAATGCAAATAATGCTGCGTTAGTAAAAATTTCCTGAGCCCCAGAGCTAGTTTAATTATGCATACACTTAGTTTACGTAAACATGTCTGGGGGTATTGAAAAACAGTAATAATTCTTACAAATTATGTAATTTGATGTTGGCTAAACCACATACACAAAAATTATTTTGCCACTTTATAAGAACAATTGTCACTGCCTTGTGACATACGGTAAAAACTTAAATACAAGGAGAATTGTATTTACGATCAAAGATACCCAATAGAGGAAAAAGTAGAGAAAAATTGAAATTAGTAAGGGAATTATATCAGCTGAGAACTCTGCAGGATTCCATAATGGATAAGGAAACTCTTTTTAGCTTGGGTTCTACTGTACTCTTATACATGGAAACTATGTTTTCAGTCTGTGGATAAAATGTGTAAGGATACAGTTGTGAGGATTACAGGAACGTAGAACGTTATTGAAAATGATATTCAATGTTGTGCTATGTCTAATTGAAGTAATTCTAAATCAAAGGAAAGGAGTTGGAGAAATGGAAGAAGAGCCGAGAAAAGAGACCACCTTTCTAAACCAGGTAACCTGTGTTCTGCTCAACAGTTGCCAAATACCTGATTCCATCACAGAGATGAGGATAATGGCCCTTAGAAGTTCTAAACATATTGGATCCAGCGGTTCTAAACATACTGGTTTCAGCAAGCAGCATGTTGGTTAAGGGTACTGGACCCTCTGTGGCCCACTGTGGTTCGAGTCCAGGGCCTGGCAGCTTGGTTTCTTACTATCTCTCTGTTTCTCTCTCACACTCTGTCTCTCTCTGGTCAAATGAAAATAAATAAATAAATAAATAAAGTTAAATAAAATAATTATTTCAAAAAAAGAAATTCTAAACTTTTTTGATGTTTTTTGTTTTGTGTTATTTTGTTTTGTTTTGTTTTCAGAAGGGTTTTCTTTCTTCTGTGCCCAGTTGGTCCTGACTCCACACAAACATTTTTCTCTTTTCCAACTCATGGTTCATGTTTTGGAGCAGGTAATGGTGAAGAACTCCAGGGAGGCCATCTACCTGAAAGAGAGGTATGAAAGTGGGATGTTTATTTTTAAGTTTATTTTTATTTCTTCTTCAGAGAGAGAGAGACAGACAGAGAATAAAGAGATACACTCCCTAACACAGTTTTGCAACTACCTACTCTCAGACTAAATTGGACAGGACATGGGCATATGTGTGTCTGGTATGTACAGGGAGATCTTGGGGTGTGAGCTTGGGACCTTGCTATATGACTTTACCATCATAAAGAATTGGTTGCTGCTGTTCCTTTGTAGGTGGCCTGTCATAGATATTTTTAATGGTGTTCTTGATGATTTAAGACATACCTGCTGAGGACTAGTTAAGAACTTGGCATTATAATTCTTTTTTTTTTCCTTTTATTTTTTGCAAGTTTTTGCTATAGGGACATGCACTTACCAGAGAGAGACAAAAAGAGAGAGAAGAGAGGTGAGAAATCACCCCTAGGGGGGATGGCCATGATGAAATCCCTTCTCTTCCATTCTCTTCATGTGATTTTAGTTCTTTATCAGCAAGATAGTCAATAATGCCATATCGGGATGCCAGGGGAACATGGTCATCTTTCCATGGGAAGTGGGAGTATACTGAGAAGATGGCAACTCAAATTTTGCTGCAAAATTTACACACCCTGTATTTTGTTCCTGGAATAGTTGTAATATTATTGATCCCAGTCAGATGACTCTTTGTGCTGATTCCCTGTGAATGTTGTTCAGTGACTGGACACCATCACTCCCACTTTCTGTTATTTATTAAGTTATTTTTCAATATTTATTGTAATTTGTGATTATATAAAATCATTATACATCTCTATAGGAGACAGTATGTTTTTTTAAAGTATTATATAGTGTGTAATAACTAAATTGAAAATATAAACGTATTCACCACCTTCAAAACTTAACATTACATTGTGTCATTAACATTTGAAATTTGCAACTGATTATTTTGTAAATATACATTAGATATATATGATGTTCTTTACTATGAAATATAGTTCTAAAGAAAAACAAAATGATTAAAGCATCAGACAAGTCTCATAAATTAGTGAAGATAGATTTTTTATAAGAGAGATAAACTTAACATTCCTCGTCAACAGATAAGTTTTATTTCTATCCCACAATTGTCTTACCTCTCCATTTTTCCCCAAAATTTCCTTTCCTATGATCCTCCCTTCCCACACTCTCTTCCACTTTGTCTTTATTGTCCATTACAATTTTTAATACTTTTATGTTCCCCAGTCTTTCAGTCTCTCCCATAGAGAGTTGGAATATGTTAAGTGGAGATATACAATGTCTCTCTTTCATAGCCTTTCTTGCTTCACTCAGCACACATCTTCCATATCTGTCCACTTTCTATCAAATTCCAGGGCCTCGTTTTTCTTTATGCATGAATATCATTCCATGGAATATATGTGCCACAATTTTTCAATCCATTCATCCATTTGTGGACATTTGGGTTGGTTCCATGTCTTAATAATTGTGAATAATGCTGCAATGAAAATAGTTGTGAAAGTGTTTTTCCTACTGAATCCTTTTGGTAGATATCCAGGAGTGGAATTTCTGGATCATATGGTAGTTCTATTTGAAGTTCTTTGAGAAATCTCCATACCATTCTTCACAGTGGCTGGACCAATTTAAATCCCCACCAACAGTGTAGGAGTGTCCCCCTTTCACCCCATCCTCTCCAGCACTTATCATTATTTGTTTTGTGGAAGACTCAGCTACTTTTAACATTTTGGACTTTCTGTCTAAATGTGTAAGTGAAATATGAAATCTGTGGAGACAACTATTTATCAAATAATTGGTGAATTTGTACTAAACCCGCTTGTGTGTAAAAATAGTTGAATCTGAATTTTTTGCCTTTTAATTGGGAAATTTAATCCTGAAACACAGTGTTATTTTTAATATGTGAGGATTTATCCCTGTCCTTTCACTAATCTTTTTCTCCCTAATTCTTTTGTATTCTCTTACTTCTATTTATCTCCCTTTAGTTTTCGTGGTGTAGTATTTCCTGAAGGTTGCTTTAGTTGCAGTGAATTTGTTCAGTATTTGTTTATCTGGGAATGATTTTATTTCTCCTTCCCATTTGATGAATAATCTTACCAGGTATAGTACTCTTGGTTGAAATAGTTTTTCTTTCAGAGTTTAAAAAATGTCTCCCTATTCTTTCCTTGACTGCATTATTTCAGTTAAGAGGTCCAACAGGGAACCAATAGATGGTGTAATGGTTATGTTGCTGGACTCCCATGTATTTGCTCTTCAGGTCTCTGACCTGGTGACATAAACCTCATGCTATGCCGCTTGTGTGTGCGTTTCCAAGATCCCAAGATAATGGAGAAGGAATTGTGGCAAGGCCATCTCCTCTGGGGGGGTAATTTCTCACTTCCTGTCTCTCTGCCTCTCTCTGTCTGGCAAGCGCAGACGTCCTATAGCAAAAATCTCTTTCAAAAATTAAATAAATAAATAAATAAATAAATAAATAAATAAGAGAGAGGTCTGATATTAGTGTAATTGGGTAACCTTTGTATATAACCTAGCATTTCTCTTTTGCCATTTTTTAAATATTGTCTTTGTCTTTGATTTTTACCAATTTGGCACTATTATTTCTTGGAGATGATTTTACATCTATTTGTCGTCCTTTGTATTGACTGAATTTGGAAATCTGTATGCCTCTAAATTTGAACATTTTCAGTTACTATATCATGAAAGATTTTCTATGTCTTTACCTGACTCTTCATATTCTGGGGTACATAATGTGACTTTTTCTTCATTTAATGGTGTCTGGGATTTCCCCTATGTAATCCTAGGTTATTCTTCTGTTCTATTTAGTAACATATACTAATTTGAAGGTCTTGTTTTCAATGTCAATGATTCTACATTCTCCATGGTCTAATCTGTTGTTAATACTGTTGAGGGAGTTTTTTTATTTTTTTGCCTCATATTCTTTACCTTCAGAAGTTCTGTCTTGGGTCCAGAGGTTAGCATAATGGCTATGTTGCTGAACTCATATGTAGTTGACTCGTGGTTCGAGTCCTGGACCCAGTGGCTTAAAACTCACACTGGGCTCATGTGCATGTGTGCCTAAGATCTCGAGGGGAGAATGGAAGAGAAGGGATTGCGGCATGGCCATCCTCCAGGGGGTGATTTCTTGCTTTCTGTCTCTCTGTCTTTCTGGTGAGTGCATGTGCTGTATAGCAAAAACTTCTCCAAAAAAAGAAAAAAATAAATAAAAAAGAAGTTCTGTCTTATTTTTTTTCAGGGTGTCAGTCTTTCTATGGAACTCGTCCTTCAAGTCATGAATCCTTTTTTTTTCCTTTTTTTTTTTTTGTAGAAGTTTTTGGCTTAGGGCACATGCACTCACCAGAAAGACAGAGAGATAGAAAGTGGATGGCCATACCACAATCCCTTCTCCTCCATTCTCCTCTCAGGATCTTGGGCACACACACATGCACCCAGCATGAGTTTAAGCCACCGGGTCTGGACTCAAACTGCAGTTAACTACATGGGAGTCCAGTGACATAGTAATTATGCCAACTACTGATACCCTGTGAAAGGATTTTCTAATCTCTTGCATTTCATTGAGTTTCATTACAATGAGTCTTGTGATTGTTTTCTCTGACATTTCTGTTATCTCTTGTCTTTTATCCATTGTTGATGAAGAGTTATTATGTTCCTTTGTGAGAGAAATATTTCCTGACTTTCCCCTATTTCTTGGGGCTCTGCTTTGATTTTTTTTGGAGAGTTCCTGGCTTTCTCTTATTTCTTGGGGCTCTGCTTTGATTTTTTTGGAGAGGTTTTTTGTTTGTTTGTTTGTTTGTTTGCTACAGGGTACGTGCACTTGCCAGACAGACAGAGAGAGACAGAGAGTGAGACATCACCCGCCCCAGGATGATGGCCACACTGCAATCCCTTCTCCTCCATTCTCCTCTCAGGATCTTGGGCATGCACGCACATGTGCCCAGCGTGAGTTTTAAGCCACCGGGTCCAGAACGCGAACCTCAGTCAACTACATGGGAGTCCAGCAACATAGCCATTATGCTAACTGCTGGTCCCAGCAGTGACTTCTTAATAAGAATTTAACAATTGTTATTTTTTGTTATTATGATTAATCAATTACCATGTATTTTTAAAACAAATTTTGAGTTTTCTTTTTTCATAACTCTAAACTTTAAGTTTCTTTTTTAAAAAAATTGTTCATTAAATTAAATTAATTAATTGTTTGTTTGTTTTGTTTTGTTTTGTTTAATTTGACCAGATAGGGAGAGAAAGTGAGAAACAAGACACTGGGTCTAGAACTAGAACCATAGTCAACCATGTGTGAATCCAGTGCCTTAACTGTCATGCCACCTGCTGATCTCTTAAATTTCTTTTTTAAATGCTAACATTACAAGATGCTTCTCTAAATTGGTAGTATAGTAAAGAGTTGCATTACAAATACCCATATGGTATTTATATATACCCATTTATAAACACCCATACTCCAACAATCTATTTTCAAATAATTCTCCATTGGTTTCAAAGTTACTTCAAATCTCTCTTTCCAATTAGTTATATTATGTGTTTTTGCAAAGTACACAATTTTCCATAAGCAATACAGAGATGAGGAAGGCTCATCACTGATATGAAACCAACATCTTGGCTGC